AGTTCGACCGTCGATTTCGACGATGTCCACCATATGCCCCACAGACTGCATTGTGGAGCAGGGACGGTGACTTACGCAGCGGTTTATAGTGCGGGTAGTCTTGTGCTGCATCTACCTACACTCTCTTCTCCTCCCCCGCCTGAGCCCGGTGTCAAGACAGAGTCAAGAATTCCGGAGACGAGGGAGGCCGCAGGAGGATGGCTCGGACGGATCCTCACCTTGGCGTTCCTCCACACCCCCCGGTCCACACAACAATTACCAGGATTTCAACCAACACAACAGAGATTTGGAGACTGGCACGACCGAAGCCGCACCTGGGCGTGCCGCCAACGCCTGGGTCGGATTCCACACTGTGGTGAGAGTGTCATAAAGGCCACATTAAAAAGGAGCCATTGCAGCCTGACTCTCAGACCGCCTCCAGTGAAGGAGGATGTCCAAGCTACCCCGTCAGTTGGCAACCTTCTAAGCCACGGCTTTTAGCGCACCGTGATAGCTTCAAGCGCGTCAGATTGTTTATAGTGAGGAGAAAGTGCGCTGAGTCGTCGACCTCACTCTCCCTTCCCACTCCCACACCCCAGCCGCTGTCCGAGCCTGTCAGCAGACTGGAGTGGGGAATGGGCGCGGTGGCTGACATGGTCGACTGACCATGCCTGCGCGCGCCACAGCACGACCTGGCCCCCCATACACACACAAACACCAGGATTTCACACAACGGGGGTTGAACGGCGTGTCTCCCACTTGCCTGAGAGGGCCGTGGAAGGTGCTGCTTCAGCACATCCCCAGCCCAACAGTTTGCCACTACGCACAACACACACACAACGTGACGAACTGCGTGAACAGAGTGGGGGCCTTAATCAGCAACCTTCCTATCCACGACGCTTGACGTGTCGGGATAGTCTCGGACACAAGTCACCCGTGCAGCCGAAGCCGCATGGGGACCGAGTCGAGATGCGGACTTCCCACTTGCGTGGGAGGCGGCAGTTGAGTGCATGGGGTGTGTGAGGGTTGATGTCTGGTGGGGTGATGATCTTAGGAGGTAGGGAGTGAGGGAATGTGTGGTGTGACCGGCGATTGTCTACCGCAGGTCGCCGTGGATGCGCATGTGCCCGAATAGTCCCATGCGATGCGTGAAGGTGCGAGGGCAGTGTGGGCAGTGGAGGCGAGTGCGGTGGGTGTAGGTTGGTGGTCCAGGCACTGGTTCGCCAGTCTCTGTGCGATGGATTCGCAAGTGACCGACCAGGCCGATGCGTGAGGTGAAGGTGCGTGGACAATGTGGGCATGAGAGGTCGGCGGTGTCGGTGTCAGCTGTAGAGGAAGCAGTGGTGTTGGTGGTGGTGGCGGTGGTGGTGGTGGTCGGCGCGTGTGACGGTGGAGCGAGGATGGGTCTGGGCGTGGTGGATGTGTTGGATGTCGTGGCTGTATCGGAATTGTGGTCAATGCCGCTCTCGTGGATGCGCATGTGGCCGAATAGGCCCATGCGATGCCGGAAGGTGCGAGTGCATTGTGGGCAGTGGAGGCGAGTGCGGTGGGTGTAGGTTGGTGCTCCAGGCACTGGTTCACCAGTCTCTGTGCGATGGATTCGCAAGTGACCGACCAGGCCGATGCGAGAGGTGAAGGTGCGGTCGCAGTGAGGGCAGGTGTAGTCCTGATCCTCATCACTGGAATCGGGAGAGGTGGGGGTGGTTGCGGTTGTTGTGTCGTGGTTGGCGATGTGTGAGCCGGCTGCCTGAACGGCCACCGCTGGGGCAGTGGAGAAGGAGGAGGATGGGAGTGGTGGTGCAGGAGGAGTGTCAGAGTTAGTTGGCGACAGAGAGGGCGAGGAAAAGGCGGGCTGGGGGAGGATGGCTGGAGCAGTTCGAGAGATGCAGTTGGTTCGAAAATGTCCAACAAGCCCGATTCGAGCCCGGAATGTCCGTTGACATCGAGGACACGTAGGGAGAGGTTGTGCGGCGGCGTTGCGTATTGGGCGAAGTTGTGATTTGCGGGCTTCGCGTTTCACTTTGGCGGCGGCGATGCGGTTGGCTTCGTAGATAGCAGCGCCCGTCTTCACTGTTCTCCTCCATGTCGGACGATCGCGGGCGAGCTCTTCCCAGTTGGTCGGGTTGATTTGCAGGCGCTTCAGGTAGGACTTCAGAGTATCCTTGTAACGGCGAATTTGGCCTCCTTGACGACGAGAACCCGTCGCGACGTCTCCGTAGAAGAGTCGTTTGGGTAGTCGCTCATCGTCCATGCGCACCAGGTGGCCGCTCCAGCGCAGCTGCATTTGTCTTAGTATGGTGTAGATGCTGAGGATTCCCGTCCGCTCCAGCACATCAGTGTCGGGAATTCGGTCCTGCCAGTTCAGCCTCAGGATGCGACGAAGACAACTGGGGTGGAAGTGGTTCAGACGACGTGCCTGATTTGCGTACACCGTCCATGTCTCCGCTCCATACAGTAGTGTCGGCAGGATGACGGCCTTGTACATCTTCAGCTCCGTGCTCAGCTGAAGACCGTGGCGATTCCAAACTGTGCTTTGGAGACGACCGAAGGCTTGACTGGCTTTCGAGATCCTGTTGGCGACTTCGTCGTCGATCTTGGTGTTGCGGGAGAGAGTACTGCCCAGGTACGGGATGTTCTCCACCACCGGCAGTTGGGTTCCGTTCACGCTCATTTGCGGCGGCGCGTTGGGGGCTGTGGCTGAGTTGGGTGGTGATTGGTGCATCACCACCGTCTTCTGCGTGTTGATAACCAGCCCAAAGTTCTCGCAGGCGGCGGAGAACAGGTCCATGCTCCGTTGCATCTCCTCTTCCGAGGTGGTGTTTAGGGCGCAGTCGTCGGCGAAGAGGAGTTCGTGAATGGTTGTTGTGAATACGCCTGATTGGAAGTGCATCCGCCGTTGATTCAGCAGGTGACCGTCCGTCCTGTAGGCGATGCGAATCCCGGGGCGTTCGTCGCGGTAGGCGTCCATCAGAATGGCAGAGAACATAAGACTGAAGAGGGTTGGTGCCAGCACGCATCGGTGCTTCACTCCGTTAGTCACTGCGAATGCCTCTGAGACAGCTCCGTTGTCCGTGACTCGCGCCATCATACCGTCGTGCAGCTGACGCACCATCTGAGTGAATCGCTCCGGACAGCCGAATTTCTGCATGATCTTTCACAGTCCTTCACGATTCACCGTGTCAAAGGCTTTCGTCAGGTCCACGAAGGTAGAGTACAGGTGGGTCCGCATCTCCTGACACTTCTCCTGAAGTTGACGGGCGGCGAAGATCATATCCGTGGTCCCACGATGACGACGAATGCTGCATTGGCCTTCCGGTAGAAGGCCCTGTTCCAGATGGTTATTGAGGTGGTTGAGGAGGATTCGTGCGAAGATCTTCCCGGCGATTTTCAGTCGGGAGATGCCGTGGAGATTGTCGCAGACTTGGTGATTCCCTTTGCGCTTGTAGAGATGCACGATGGTTGCGTCTTTGAAATCTTGCGGGACTTCACCTTGACGCCACATCTCCTGGAAGAGCGCAGTCAGGAGATCCATCAGTTGGGGACATCCGTGCTTGTAGACCTCAGCAGAGATCGCGTCCGATCCGGGTGCTTTCCCGCTGGAGAGCTGCTGCACGGCCCTGATGGTCTCCTGGAGATGTGGCGGGAGGTCGAGGTCCGCGTTGGTCTCCACTTGCGGCAAACGCTCGATGGCGGCCTCGGAGATGACGGAGGGGCGGTTGAGGACGCCTCGGAAATGCTCGGCCCATCGCTGCAGGATTTACGTCTTCTCAGTCAGGAGAGTGTTGCCGTCGGCGCTGAGGAGAGGAGCAGTGCCCTTCGTCGGCGGACCGTAGACAGATTTGATCGCAGAGAAGAAGTTCTTCCATTCGTTGCGGTCCGCGTAGCCTTGGATCTCCTCAGCTTTGCGAGCAGTCCAGGCGTCCTGCATCTCGCGCAGTCGTTGCTGAAGCTGTCGGCGACTGCGGTAGAAGGCAGCTTTGTTGTCTGCAGTGGGGTGATCTACTTAGGCTTTGTGTAAGCGGTTCTTCGCAGCAAACAGATTTATGATGGCGGCGTCGTTGTCGTCGAACCAGTCCTGGTGTTGGCGGGGAGCGCGACCGAGGACGGCTAGCGACGTCGTCTGGACCGTGTCTCGCAGTTGACACCAGCGGTTCTCCACGGAGGCGTTCTCAACAGCGGCCGCGTCGTTGGCGGCGGCGGCGATTGGAAGGTTGTCTAGCCGTTGAGCTAGCTCATTGCTCAAATGAAGATGCTGAGCGGGCAAAGACAACAAAGTGACATTCAGCTTACCTGGGGGTCGCTTACCTTGTGGTCTCCTGCGAGGCTGTAGGCGAATACGCATCTTCGAGTTGACGAGACGATGGTCGGTCCACCCGTCAGCACCCGCGATCGCCTTCGTCACCAGCACGTCCCGCTGATCTCGCCTCCGGACGAGGACATAGTCCAGCAGTTGCCACTGACGCGACCGAGGATGCCTCCAGGTGGCCTTCTCTCGCTCCGGCAGACAGAAGAAGGTGTTCGTCAGGATGAGGCGGTGTTCTGCGCAGGTGCGGAGGAGAAGCAGGCCGTTGTCGTTGGAGCCGCGGAGACTGTGGGGACCCAGCACTCCCCTCCAGGCAGTATGGTCTGTGCCGACGCGGGCGTTGAAGTCACCAAGGACAATCAACTTGTCCGCCTTCGACACAGTCGCCAAGAGGGCGTGCAGGTCCTCATAGAATTTGTCTCTGACGGCGTCGGGGTTGGTCATCGGCGGAGCGTAGGCGCTGATGATGGTGGCGAACTGGCCTCCTCGCCGGAGAGGCAGGCGGAGACTCATCAGGCGGTCGTTGATTCCCTGCGGCAAACAGGACAGTCGTCCCACGATGTCGTTCCGAATGGCGAAGGCGACACCCGCGTCACGTCGCACTGCCCTGGGTCGACCACTCCAGAAGAAGGTGTAACCGGCACCCACCTCCTCCAGTTGGCCTTGTTCGGAGAATCGGGTCTCGCTGAGTGCGGCGATGTCCACCTTGTAGCGCGCCAGTTCTCGTGCCACTAGCGCCGTCCTCCGTTCCGGTCGGTTGCTCCTCGGATTGTCTAAAAGGGAACGAACATTCCAGGCTGCCTGAGTGAGCGGGCTCACACTGCCAGTCTGGTGACAGCGAGTGGGGCGACGGGAAGGAAGTGGAGAAGAAGATGACGAAGGAGAAGAATAGGCAGAAGAATAGGCAGAGGAAGAGGAAGAAGAGGTAGGATGAGGAGAATGAGTATGGTTGTTGTTGTTGTTGTTGTTGTTGTTGTTGTTTCGATTTTGAGTGTTTCGACCATGATTAGACGTCTGCGGCCCTGGCTAGCCTGGAGACGGCGTGGTGCCCAGCAATGTTTAGGCCACATTTTCTAGGCTCTCCCCCGTAATGGGGACAGGCAGTGCCCCCCGAATCGGGCTGCCTGTGTGCCTGTTTGGCGCGACCGAATCCCACTATGGGGCCACGATTTTATGTTTGTAGTGGAGAACGACCGCATATGCCGAGGTCCGCGGTCTCTGCCGGCGTAGGTGGGCGCGTCTCAGCTAAGGCGATGCGGGAACCCATCCCGGCAGCAGCTGTCCAACGGCGTACCAGGCAGAGCCTCGTCTCGGCGACGACGGCGCAACGTTTCATTCGACCAAACGTCCAGCGGAGTCCGCAGTACACTGTGCACGCGGCACAAGCGCACAGCGCCCTCACCTGCTTTAGCCCGCTGGTCAAGGCGGTTGCCCGGGGTGTGGCCGCTGAGCAGAGCCCAGCTACGTGGAGCCACAGGTGAGAGTTGGGTGCCAGCAAATGGACGCTAGGCGTAGTCTCACCTGCGAGCAAGTGAGCGACCACCACGACCATCACCACCACCACCACCACCACCACCACCACCACCACCACCACCAGCGCAAAGAGTGACACCAGGCAAATTAAACTCCTGTTGTAATATTTCTTAGCGTTTGCAATCACACCAATAAACGCAGTTATATCGATTTAACCACCCATTCATTTTGAAGATGGCATCGTCCGATCAGCCCTCCGATCGGCCGTTGAATTAGCGTTTGGATATTTCAGCCGACAAGGGGCGTAATTGCCGCGTAGTGAATACCTGTGAACAGCGAGCTTATTCTTCTAGGTGAGGTCAGTCTGCTACTGCTAGATTTCACTCTAGACACTTGCTGCAAGGCCCTCTTCATTGATGCTGCAATTCATTGTCCACATTCATTCATGTCATTGACACCCTTTGAAATACATGCACGACCGCCTGCAGGTAGTAAAAGCCTGCATAACGAGAACGGGGCGACGCTCAAGACGGCTATTGGTCAATTTGTCCTTTTTAATAAATATGCACCAACCACTTCTGCAAAACTAATTAAGTACTGTAATCTCGAAGTACTGCGAAGAAATTTTGATGGCAGTCGTATAACAAACCGATGCATTAAAAGTAGTTTGGACTCCGGAGGCAATTATTCCGGACGAGGAAGGTCCATTTTTGTCACACGAGGAGGTCGAAGCATTTTCATCATGCTCTCACCCTGAGGAGTTCGCGTAGGTTTCGAGGACCAAGTGTACGTTTATGTATACACTGAACATGTGTCAGATGCGGTCCATAGGGCTCATTTCAGTTTTCCTACCCCAATGACAAATTAGCATATCAGTTCTCCTATCCCACTCATCCCCCCGTCGACCCAATTCGGGAAAGGAAAAACAAACAAACAAACAAGCGCGTCGGTCGCAAATTGAAGCCTACGCTCGGGACCCTCCGCAGTCGACAGTTCATCCACGCACACATTGTATGTGCAGACCTGACACCTGACCGCCCTCAGTGCACCCCACATTATTTCGGTTTCTGTGCCAATTTAAAAGGGGGGGGGGGGCGGAGTGAGGGAATGGGACGCGCACGAGGAAGGACATGTGTATTGTTAAATCATTGGTTTAAATGTGCAGCTTCATAGCGTTGCCATTCCCCTGCCGCCAAATGCCACCTCTGTCTTGCACCACCGATTGGGATAATGCATAGGCGACCGAATGACAAATGCTTGTCCGCACTGCCTGGTCGGTCCCTCATTCCCCCACCCGCACCCCCGCTACCCCACCCCTGAGCCGGTCTATACTGCATGGGTAACCTCCTCTTCTGTTGCCGTCAGTTGCCTGTGCTAGGGCTACTGCTGTGTTGTACTCTTACGGGCAAACAAAGAGGTGGGCTGAGGTACGCAGGAGTTGTCCGGCATGCCAGTAGCATCCATTAGCGGCACAGAAGGGGGTGGGGGGGTGGGTTGGAGGGCGGAGGAGGGGAGAAGGGGGGAAGGGGAAGCGCTGAGTTCTAACAGCAGCAGCAGGAGGGATTGCAGGGGGTCTAATGCGATGATCGGCTGTTGCAGACGCAGACAGATTAGCGTGGGTGTGCGTACTCTTGGACATCAGTCGGAATTTTGGGGGTTAGTTGGTTCAAGGTCGCATACCACGGTCGCGGCCTCGGATTTTGCGGAAGGTTGCCAACTTATGGATGAATTAGTGCAGTGGCATGACGCAAAGTTCAGAGCAAGGTCTGACTAAGAGTAGACTTCAGCAAATTGCGCCTAGTCGGAGTGAGATCATGTTGTGCCTGCGTCAGCGTTAAATAATGTTAAGAAGAGTAGGATCAGGAAGTAGGAGGAAGGAAATGACAAAGAGGAGAAGGAGGAGGAGTAGGATAGGAAGATGCTGCCGTCCAACCGGCCGCCAATATGCCTCTATACCACGGGAGTTTATGTTGGCGTGAAGTATGCATGGACATCTTCGGCCTAGGCACATTTGAATATTGTAGAATTGTAGTAGTAGTAGTAGTATTAGTAGTAGTAGTAGTAGAAGTAGTAGTAGTAGTAGCTGTAGTAGTCGTAGTTGTAGTAGTAGTGTTATTATTATTATTATTAGTATTAGTAGGAGTGGTAGTAGTAGTAGTAGTAGTAGTAGTAGTAGTAGTAGTAGTAGTAGTAGTAGTAGTAGTAGTAGTAGTAGTAGTAGTAGTAGTAGTAGTAGTAGTAGTAGTAGTAGTAGTAGTAGTAGTAGTAGTAGTAGTAGTATTAGGACTAGTGGTAGTGGTGTTGGTGGTAGCAATAATAGTAGTATTGCCAATAGAAGCGAAGAGACGAGTCGCAGGAAGCAGTCTTGAAGAAGAAGAAGAAGAAGAAGAAGAAGAAGAAGAAGAAGAAGAAGAAGAGGAAGAAGAAGAAGAACAAGAAGACACGATCGCAGGGAGAAGAGCTTTATTAGCCGGACGTTTCTAATTCCTGCTCGAATTCAGCTTCAGAATCATAAGCTTCATCCAGCACCTACCGCGCTCTCCTCCTCCTCCTCCTCCTCCTCCTCCTCCTCCTTCTCCTCCCCCTCCTGGATCCGATGTCAAAACAGAGTCAAGATATCAGGAGGTGTAGTAGGGAGCAGGTGGATGGCACAGTCGAGCTGGCACATTGGCGCTCCTATCCACAACTCCTGGTCCACACAGCAAATCAAAAGGATTTTGATCAACAACAACAATAACTACAACAACAACAACAACAACAACAACAACAACAACAACAACAACAACAACAACAACAACAACAACAACAACAACAACTACAACAAGGTGATGGCCGGTGGCGTGCTTGATGCTGCACACAAAAATGCGTGCATTATATATGGTGCACTAACGGATACCGACTGCCGGAATCCAAAATGGCCCAGGGGATGGTTCAGCGCATCTAACGCCTGACCAGTTTGGGGGGGAGGGGGGCAAAAGCAATCAACCAACCAATGAAATTGATGTGGGGTGGGTCTATACGAGACACTGTTCCGTTCGACCTTCAGGTAAACTGCGTTTCCCAGAAGGGCTGCCTATGAATGCAGGATTACTAGCATGGGGTTTCGATCCTGGTCTGCTTCTCACTCACACATGACACTGCAGACCGATTGAACAGACAAAGGGCTTTTCTCACAAACTGGCATTAAAGTCTCATCTGGCAGACCGTCAGACGAGGAGTTGAAATGACCCTACGGAAACTATGCAGCATGCTGTTCAAGGCGCGGGCCTTGTTCCTAGCTTCTTGTAAAGATTGAGCACAACGGCTCATCACACTGGCTATGCTGCTGAAATCTCCCCGCACATCTGCTAATCTACTGAATGAGCCAGCCGCAGACCGCAGAGCTTCAGTGCGCACAGTTGCGAAATAAGCAGATGTGGCTTCTATCACAGAGCGAGGGAATGATGCGGTGCGTTAATGCTGGAAGCGAGGACAAAATTATTTGGCGATGCACATGGAGGAGTGTAGTCGTGTAGGTTAGGTGAGGGAAATGTCAACAGTGGACGACTACTTATTGGCACGTACAGACGCGCGACTAGCCAATGAGTTGTCAGCAAACAGTGGAAAGTGCGAAGGCGCGGTCGCCAGTGTATAAATTTCCCTCCCTACACAGTCGTAGTGAAAGTCAGACCGCAATTTTCTGCCTGCGCACAAACACACATGCACACCATGTGGATGCACGAATGCCTAGCCTGCCCCTCGGCACAGAGCGTCGGAGTAGACGCCTGGATGCGCCACCTCGCTGAGGCCCACGTCATGCCAACCGAGTGGATCAGCGAACGGGCCGCCCGTCTCGTTGGCCCAGCGGCACGGACGCCCTACACACTCATTACGGAGTCCAAGAAGAAGCGATGTCGTGGCACTGTACCTCGACCACTCAACAGCTTCATGGTGAGTTTTTGCTACGTCCACCGTCTCCCTCCCTACCTACCTTCCTACCTAGCTACCTGCCTGCCTGTCTGCCTACCTCCCTCATTCTCTCACTCACTCACACTACCCATCACCCAGCCACCCACCATCATCTATATCCTCCTCCTCCTCCTCCCGCTGTTGTTGCTGCTGCTCTATCAGCCTTTGTCTAAGGCAATTCTTTTTGCACCGTGCCTTGCAGATATTTGCTCAACACATTCGCCGCAACGTACTGCGCGTCTTCGGCAAAGCCTCCAACTCCATCATCAGTCGTCAGCTGGGTGAAATTTGGCGCAGCCTTCCACGACCTGTGAAGGAGCGCTACGATGCGGAGGCAGCACGTCTAGTGAAGATTCATCAGATCGAGTTTCCAGACTACAAGTATCAGCCTAAGAAGAAGACGGCTGCTGCTGCTGCTGCTGCTGCTTCTGCCTCCGCAAACCTGCTCTCTGAAGCTCACCGCAAACGTGCGGCCACCATGCCCTCGGTGAATCACATAACGACACCCTACCAGCTCACAAACTCTCATCCATCACGCCTTTTCAGTCTGAGCGCGTCGCACTTTGCAGAGGACTCTTCTCATTGGCCAGGTCTCATTAACACTCCCTCCACCTCCCCTAGTTCAACCTTCTCACGCTTCACACCCTCACCGTCGTCAACATCATCTGCTGCTGCTGCCGTCTCCTACTCCTCCACTGCCTACCCCACCTTCCCCTCCCCATACTCCCCCTCCAACTCCTCCTCCTCCTGCTCCTGCTCCTGCTCCGCCTCCGCCTCATGCTGCTGCTGCTACGCAACACCTCAGGAGGTCTGTGAAACAAACGCTCAACAGGGTGGCTCAGCCTGCATTTGTGAGAATCACTGTCAACCACAATCCCGCCAACGCTACTTCTCCTCCCCCAATGCACCCCTTCTCACACAGTCCGCTGTCTTCGCACGAACAGCCTCTTGCTCCCTGCCCGCCTTCCATTACCAGTCAGCTCAAACACGTGGATCTGCAGTCCTCTCCACGCAGAACGTCAACGCCAATCATGAGACGACTGTTCGTGGCATTCAGGGGTCGGAATGCAGTCGATGGAACTATGCTAGCAGCGAGTCACTGTCTCAAACAGACAGTGGGATCTTTAGTCCCATTGAGTCCGATGCATTGGCCTGGCCTGACTCCTCTGTCATTGATCCTGTCCACAACGAACTCCATCAGCACGATAGGACAATATGGAAGGTCGGATGCGAGCAGGACACAGGGTGTTCCTTGGAGGAGACATGGGGACAGATAGTAAGCGATGAGGTGCTGGATTTCCGACCTCTCTCCACAGAAGCCGAAATGGTGTTGGGGCCAACACTTCAGCAGTCACCACCGTCCCCCACCACCGGCACGCCATTGAGGACGCCCATTCGACCAACCGACGTGTGTCAAATGTCTGACAGGGAATCTTGCTGTCCTCATCTATCCAACCTTCTTTCTGCTGACATGGAAGCCATTGTCAGAACTGACTCCAGCCTCCTGCAATCAGATTGGTCGGTTTATGCGTGAACGCTGAAGACAGAGCTGACAAGGCAGAATTCAATGGAAGCCGGTGCATGTCCGGCACTGGATGAAGCATGATCCAGTAGACCGAATTAAATCGCCTATTCGACGACCACAGTGGTTCCTCATTGAGGAGGGTTCAAGGAATGTCCGATGGACTGGAACAGATTCACCCCTGTAGCATACAGAGCCAACTTCATTGTCTTTACTGTCTCCTAAGACTACTAGAGTTTCAAATAAATAGACATGTTAGATGCCAAGCTGGACTTTGTGTGCCTTAATGCTATCCGTGTTCAGGGTATATAAATATACATATGGGAAGGGAATCGAAACGAGTAAGCACAATTCCCCTCAGTCAACTCTCAACATGATACAGTAGCAGGGCACTGATGGAGATTGTCTGGGGCTTCGGTTGGGGATGATGCTGTCCTGAGTTGAAGCAGAGTTAGGCACCAACCCAATTCAGCCCTGCATTTGGGGCAGCTCGGTGGGCATTAAATCCACCTGAGCACGAAATCGTCCGGTTATAGTCAAGGAGGCCTGTATCCATGATTGAGCGGTAGATCAACTGCATTCAGGAAGAAATTCGCAGACCATGTGCGTTTGCGCTTGGGCTATGACTGGCTGATGCCGAAAATTAGGCCAACCAAAACGAACAGATATATCCCGGTTATGTAGCCCAGCTCTACCACTTTCATTCAGGCTCTGACATAGGTAGACTTCATGCAGGTCAGTTAAATGCATCCCAACATATTATAGTTACTGAATTCAGACAGTAAAAAGTCTCACTAGATGAAATAACCGTGTAGACAGGAAAATTTCATGTGGCCACTTCGTCTCCAGTCTTCCTCATAGGCTAGCACCCCTCGACACTTGGAGGTCCTTCACATTCGTTAAGTCAGTGTTTTAGACATCGACCTTGACTTCGAAATCCTTGCGTCTCCCCAGTTTTTCTGTCGTGACATGCCCCGTGCTAAACTGTCGAAAAGCCTTTGCGGAGACTTTTGCCGGAGTGTGTACATGCCCTCATCGAATTATCTGTCAGGTTATGCAACGCGAGAGTCTCGAGGAGTGGATCGGGAGGAGAAGGAAAATGTGGCTGCCGTTGACTTCTATTTCCATCAAACTGCAGTCACGTTGCCTACATCTGTCCAGTCCGGTTCTGTCTGTCTGTCTGTCCACAGGAGGATCAGTTAATTGTTACGATGACGCGCAGTTAAGATGACTCAGTGGTCATCAGTCATGACTAATGACAAATAGTTTATTCCTAATTGACTTGTCTCGCAACGCACCCGCCAGCAGCCTGTTTTAACTGCCTGCATGCGGCTGACTTTGGTAGAGACATTAAGAAACTAATGACCTGAACGTTGACAACATCAGAAGCACAGTAACGAGCAGTTGAATCCCGAGTGCATCAGATGAATTCTGACTGTCTGACAACCCATTTGCTGACTTCACTGACTCCGCATGCATACTTGGCACGATATGTTTGGCATTGGTAAAGATGAAAAGGCAAGGGATGAATGACAGGCAGAGCGGCAGTTTAGTCAACACTCGGTCGTCGAAGATGGATTGCTGTGACTGGCTATGCTTGAAAGAAATCCATATCTAACCACCCATTGAGTGAGTCAAATCACAGTACGAGTTCAAGCGGTTGAGTGTAGTGTGGTGGTCATTTCACAAGGGCAGAATATCTCTTTGCCATTTGCTTTAGAAGCTCCGCATATCTGTGATCGAGACTGATCTAGTTGCCATCACGTTATGCATGAGACAACAGTGGATCTGACACTGTGTCACGTAATGTGGACTAGGTACTCAAGGGCAATGAAACAGCTCGCTTGCCTACATAAACTCGGTGGACCATCTCTTTTACCGACTAAACCAGCGCTGACAGTTCGACCATCGATTCCGATGATGTCCTCCGTGTGCACCACAACAGATTTTAGCAGGGACGGTTACTTGCGCAGGGGTTTGTAGTGCCAGTAGACTTGCGCTGCATCTACCTACACTCTCTCCTCCTCCCTCGCCCGAGCCCGGTGTCAAGACAGAGTGAAGAAGACCGGAGACGAGGGAGGCCGCAGGTGGATGACTCGGACGGATCCTCACCTTGGCGTTCCACCACACCCCCTGGTCCACACAACAATAACCAGGATTTCAAACAGCGCAACAGAGATTTGGCGGCTGGCACGGCCGAAGCCACACCTAGGCGCGCCGCCAACGTCTGGCTCGGATCCCACACTGTGTTAGGTGTGCCATAAAGGCCACATTAAACACGAGCCATTGCAGCCTGACTCTCAGACCGCCTCCCGTTAAGGAGGAGTTCCAAGGTACCCCGTCAGTTGGCAACCTTCTAAGCCACGGCTTTTAGCGCACCGTGATAGCTTCAAGCGCGTCAGATTGTTTATAGTGAGGAGAAAGTTCGCTGAGTCGTCGACCTCACTCTCCCTTCCCACACCCACACCCCAGCCGCCGTCCGAGCCGGTCGGTGAAATGGAGTGGTGGATGGGCCCGGTGGCTGCCACGGTTGACTGACCGTGACTGCGCGCGCCACAGCACGACCTGGCCCCCCATACACACACAAACACCAGGATTTCACACAAGGGGGGTAGAACGGCGTCACTTTAACTTGCGTGATAGGGCCGTGGAAGGTGCTGCTTCAGCCCATCCCCAGCCCACCAGTCCGCCACTACACACAACACACACACAACGTGACGAACTGCGTGAACCGAGAGCGGGCCTCAATCAGCAACCTTCCTATCCACGACACTTGACGTGTCGGGATAGTTTCGGACACAAGTCACCCGTGCAGCCGAAGCCGCATGGGGACCGAGTCGAGATGCACACTTCCCACTTGCGTGGGAGGCGGCAGTTGAGCGCATGAGGTGTGTGGGGTTGATGTCTGGTGAGGTGATGGTGTTAGGAGGTAGAGAGTGAGGGAATGTGTGGTGTGACCAGCGGTTGTCTACCGCAGGTCGTCGTGGATGCGCATGTGGCCGAATGGACCCATGCGATGCGTGAAGGTGCGAGGGCAGTGTGGGCAGTGGAGGCGAGTGCGGTGGGTGTAGGTTGGTGCTCCAGGCACTGGTTCGCCAGTCTCTGTGCGATGGATTCGCAAGTGACCGACCAGGCCGATGTGTGAGGTGAAGGTGCGTGGACAATGTGGGCATGAGAGGACGGCGGTGTCGGTGTCAACAGGATCTCGAAAGCCAGTCAAGACTTCGGTCGCCTCCAAAGCACAGTTTGGAATCGTCATGGTCTCCAACTGAGCACAAAGCTGAAGATGTACAAGGCCGTCATCCTGCCGACGCTACTGTACGGAGCGGAGACCTGGACGGTGTACACGAGGCAGGCACGTCGACTAAACCACTTCCACCTCAGCTGTCTCCGCCGCATCCTGAGGCTGAACTGGCAGGACCGCATCCCCGACACGGAAGTACTGGAACGAACGGGAATTCTGAGCATCTACTCCATGTTAAGACAAATGAAGCTGCGCTGGAGCGGCCACCTGGTGCGCATGGACGACGAGCGACTACCCAAACGACTCTTCTACGGAGACGTCGCGACGGGTTCTCGTCGTCAAGGAGGCCAAATTCGCCGTTACAAGGATACTCTGAAGTCCTCCCTGAAGCGCCTGCACATCAACCCGACCAACTGGGAAGAGCTCGCCCGCGATCGTCCGACATGGAGGAGAGCAGTGAAGACGGGCGCTGCTATCTATGAAGCCAACCGCATCGCCGCCGCCAAAGTGAAACGCGAAGCCCGCAAATCACAACTTCGCCCAATACGCAACGCCGCCGCACAACCTCTCCCTACGTGTCCTCGATGTCAACGGACATTCCGGGCACGAATCGGACTTGTTGGACATCTTCGAACCAACTGCACCTCTCGAACTGCTCCAGCCATCGTCCCCCCGCCCGCCTCTTCCTCGTCCTCTCTGCCGCCAACAAACTCTGACACTCCTCCTTCACCACCACTTCCATCCTCCACCTTCTCCTCCACTGCCCCAGCGGCGGCCGTTCAGAATGCCGTCTCACACATCGCCAACCACGACACAATAACCGCAACCACCCCCACACCTCCCGATTCCAGTGATGAGGATCAGGACTACACCTGCCCTCACTGTGACCGCACCTTCACCTCACACATCGGCCTGGTCGGTCACTTGCGAATCCATCGCACAGAGACTGGCGAACCAGTGCCTGGAGCACCAACCTACGCTCACCGCACTCGCCTTCACTGCCCACACTGCCTTCGCACCTTCAGGCATCGCATGGGTCTATTCGGCCACATGCGCATCCACGAGAGCGGAATTGACCACAATTCCGATACAGCCACGCCATCCAACACATCCACCACGCCCCGACCCATCCTCGCTCCACCGTCGCACGCGCCGACCACCACCACCAACACCACTGCTTCCTCTACAGCTGACACAGACACACACACACACGACGACAGTTCGACCGTCGATTTCGACGATGTCCACCGTGTGCCCCACAGCTGCAGCAGCGGTGGGAGCAGGGACGGTGACTTACGCAGGGGTTTATAGTGCCAGTAGACTTGCGTAGCATCTACCTACACTCTCTCCTCCTCCCCCGCCTGGGCCCGGTGTCAAGACAAAGTCAAGAAGACCGGAGACGAGGGAGGCCGCAGGTGGATGGTTCGGACGGATCCTCACCTTGGCGTTCCACCACACCCCCTGGTCCACACAACAATAACCAGGATTTCAAAAAACACAACAGAGATTTCGAGGCTGGCACGGCCGAAGCCGCACCTGGGCGTGCCGCCAACGCCTGGCTCGGATCCCACACTGTGGTGGGAATGCCATAAAGGCCACATTAAAAAGGAGCCATTGCAGCCTGACTCTCAGACCGCCTCCCGTTAAGGAGGAGGTCCAAGGTACCCCGTCAGTTGGCAACCTTCCAAGCCACGGCTTTTAGCGCACCGTGATAGCTTCAAGCGCGTCAGATTGATTATAGTGAGGAAAATGCGCTGAGTCGTCGACCTCACTCTCCCTTCCCATTCCCACACCCCAGCCACTGTCCGAGCCGATCAGTAGACTGGAGTGGGGAATGGGCGCGGTGGCTGACATGGTCGACTGACCATGCCTGCGCGCGCCACAGCACGACCTGGCCCCCCATACACACAAACACCAGGATTTCACACAAGGGGGGTAGAACGGCGTCACTTTAACTTGCGTGATAGGGCCGTGGAAGGTGCTGCTTCAGCCCGTCCTTAGCCCACCAGTCCGCCACTCCACACAACACACACACACAACGTGACGGACTGCGTGAGCCGAGAGCGGGCCTCAATCAGCAACCTTCCCATCCACGACACTTGACGTGTCGGGATAGTCTTGGACACAAGTCACCCGTGCAGCCGAAACTGCATGGGGACCGAGTCGAGATGCACACTTCCCACTTGCGTGGGAGGCGGCAGTTGAGTGCATGAGGTGTGTGAGTGTTGATGTCTAGTGGGGTGATGGTGTTAGGAGGTAGGGAGTGAGGGAATGTGTGGTGTGACCAGCGGTTGTCTACCGCAGGTCGTCGTGGATGCGCATGTGGCCGAATAGACCCATGCGATGCGTGAAGGTGCGAGGGCAGTGTGGGCAGTGGAGGCGAGTGCGGTGGGTGTAGGTTGGTGCTCCAGGCACTGGTTCGCCAGTCTCTGTGCGATGGATTCGCAAGTGACCCACCAGGCCGATGCGTGAGGTGAAGGTGCGTGGACAATGTGGGCATGAGAGGTCAGCGGTGTGGGTGCCAGCTGTAGAGGAAGCGGTGGTGTTGGTGGTGGTGGACGGCGCGTGTGACGGTGGAGCGAGGGTGCGTCTGGGCGTGGTGGATGTGTTGGATGTCGTGGCTGTGTCGGAATTGTGGTCAATTCCGCTCTCGTGGATGCGCATGTGGCCGAATAGACCCATGCGATGCGTGAAGGTGCGAGGGCAGTGTGGGCAGTGGAGGCGAGTGCGGTGGGTGTAGGTTGGTGCTCCAGGCACTGGTTCGCCAGTCTCTGTGCGATGGATTCGCAAGTGACCGACCAGGCCGATGCGTGAAGTGAAGGTGCGATCGCAGTGAGGGCAGATGTAGCCCTGGCCCTCACGTCGGATGATGGAGGTTGCAGGGGTTGTGCCGGTTGTTGTGTCAGGTTCGGCTGCGGTGAGTTCGTGGGCGACAGACGCCGAGGCGGCCGTCGTTGTGGCAGTGAAGGAGGAAGAGGAGGTGGAGGAAGGGGAGGAGTGGGGGGTGGTAAGGTCGGTGGCGTCGATGTCGGCTGTGGAGTGGTTAGTGGGTGCGCAAGGTGATTGATTGGGAGTGGGGCTCGGCGGGGTGGGTGTGTCAAGGCTGCGGTCAATTCCGCTCTCGTGGATGCGCATGTGGCCGAATAGACCCATGCGATGTGTGAAGGTGCGAGGGCAGTGTGGGCAGTGGAGGCGAGTGCGGTGGGTGTAGGTTAGTGCTCCAGGCACTGGTTCACCAGTCTCTGTGCGATGGATTCGCAAGTGACCGACCAGGCCGATGCGAGAGGTGAAGGTGCGGTCGCAGTGAGGGCAGGTGTAGACCTGATGCTCATCACTGGGATCGGGAGAGGTGGGAGAGGTGATGTTCGTTGGTGTGTTGGTGTTGGTGATTTGTGAGACAGCAGACTGGACGGCCGCCGCTGGGGCAGTGGAGAGGGAGGAGGCCGACGAGGATGGAATTGGTGGTGCAGAAGGAGTGTCAGAGTTAGTTGGCGGAAGGGAGGAGGAAGAGGCGGGCGGGGGGACGATTGCTGGAGCAGTTCGAGAGGTGCAGTTGGTTCGGAGATGTCCAACAAGGCCGATTCGTGCCCGGAATGTCCGTTGACATCGAGGACACGTTGGGAGTGGTTGTGCGGCGGCGTTGCGGACTGGGCGAAGTTGTGATTTGCGGACTTCGAGTTTCGCTTTGGCGGCCGCGATTCGGTTGGCTTCATAGATAGCAGCGCCCGTCTTCACTGTTCTCCTCCATGTCGGACGATCGCGAGCGAGCTCTTCCCAGTTGGTCGGGTTGATTTGCAGGCGATTCAGGGAGGACTTCAGAGTATCCTTGTAACGGCGAATTTGGCCTCCTTGACGACGAGAACCCGTCGCGACGTCTCCGTAGAAGAGTCGTTTGGGTAGTCGCTCGTCGTCCATGCGCACCAGGTGGCCGCTCCAGCGCAGCTGCATTTGTTTCAGTACGGCGTAAATGCTGAGGATTACCGTTCGTTCCAGTACTTCCGTGTCGGGGATGCGGTCCTGCCAGTTCAGCCTCAGGATGCGACGGAGACAACTGAGGTGGAAGTGGTTCAGTCGGCGTGCCTGTCTCGTGTACACCGTCCAAGTCTCTGCTCCGTACAGTAACGTCGGCAGGATGACGGCCTTGTACATCTTCAGCTTTGTGCTCAGTTGGAGACCTTGGCGATTCCAAACTGTGCTTTGGAGGCGTCCGAAGGCTTGACTGGCTTTCGAAATCCTGTTGGCGACTTCGTCATCAATCTTGGTGTTGCGAGATGGAGTACTGCCCAGATACGGGAAGTTCACCACCACTTGCAGTTGGGTTCCGTTCACGCTGATTTGCAGCGGCACATTGGGGGCCGTGGCTGAGTTGGGCGGCGGTTGGTGCATCACCACCGTCTTCTGCGTGTTAATGACCAGCCCAAAGTTCTCGCAGGCGGTGGAGAACAGGTCCATGCTCCATTGCATCTCCTCTTCCGAGTTGGTGTTCAGGGCGCAGTCGTCGGCGAAGAGGAGTTCGTGCATGGTGGCTGTGGATACACGCGATTGGAAGTTCATGCGCCGGTGATTCAGGAGATGACCGTCCGTTCTATAGGCGATGCGGATTCCAGGGCGTTCGTCGCGGTAGGCGTCCATCAGCATGGCAGAGAACATAAGACTGAAGAG